ACCCCATTGCCACGCGACTCTAGCCGATGGTAATGCGGAGGACGCCACAGAAATGTCCGCGTAATGCCACTCGGTGATGTGGCGGAGACGAGAATGAAAAAGTGCATGTCTTGCACTCCGTGACTGCGGCAGATGCGCGCTCTCCCTCGAGAATCTAAGTGGCAGTTTGAACCTTATTCGGCCGAAATGTTTATCTGAATGAATTTACCCTGCAACAAACTTCACTACCGAACCTCTGTCTCTCACCCATTCGCCGACGAGGTAGCCCACTATTCGTTGTATTGGAACGAATGGTGTGGGAGTGGAGGCAAGGGGCTGTCTACTTATAATATTAATCAGTTCAGATTCCTAATATTAAAATTTCCTCAAATAAACTAATCTAGCACGTACCGTCTTTCTTTCATTATTTAAGGTCACATCAACATCTAGGCCATTAGAGACCAGTATTGTATTTGATAGTATCTGTGAAGATGATATGATATGGTGATGTCAGTGTGTGCGAGGATGAATTAAACTATTTATATTGATACTTTTTTATTAAAAGACATTTACGGAACAAATGCTAATGTGTTTCTATTCCTTTTCATTGAATTGATTGAATACCAAGTCACAAAATTTGACAACAGTACTCACGTATTTGAGATTGAACTAATTTATTACTTAATGTTGTTAGTGTGTTTAAGATTGAAACTTACTTCTCTGCCTCGGTATAACCCTCTTTTACGGTCAGGGTTGCCACCTTTCCGGGTTTGACCCAGAGACTCCGGGTTTCATAGACAATCGCCGGGCTCCGGGTTACTGTTGAAAATCTCCGGGTTATATACAAAATGTAATACCTTTTTTCACTTTTAAAAAAAGTGTTTAATCTTGAATAATTTTATTTTATCGAATGATGTCATATAAATTTCAATAATTACAGAAAATGCAGACAATTATTGTTTTTTTTCTGCAAGGGTTGTCAGATATCAGTAATATATGCTTAAGAAACCATCTGTAATTTTCAGTATTTTGTTAATACATTATAAATGTATTATTATTAATTAATCGTAAAGAAGTCCTGCATTCTTTTATAATAAATGTTGATTGTGAATTTGAATATTTACATTACTGCACATTCACCTCCCCCCCGGTAATCAATCATCTCCGGTTGGCTTCCATCTCGAAAGTGGCAACCCTATTTACGGTACCATGAAATTGGTCAAATTAAGGAAGATTATCGATTTTCGATTTTTTTGGCTGAATAAATAGTTCAAAAAGTTGTTCTTTCTAAATATATTAACATTGTACTTCTATGACGTGAAAAAGTTTCTTTAATTCTTATTTAAATTGCCTAGTGCACATGAGCCACACCTTTTTTCACACTACATTTCTACATTTTACTCTGCACACTGCAAGTATGGTTACCGTTATTTTGTAATTTTGAAGCATGTTAGATTGTTAGTAAGGTATTGAAACATAATATTGTTCATACATTGGTAACATCGATCTTTTCCGCTGAAAATCATGATTCAGAATATCATGCAGGAATGTTCTAGTAGAGCTATGGTAAGAAATTTTTTGTTTTCTTTAATGGCGTTTGCCGAAAATGTACCTTTGTAATCAATTTTCCAGAAACTATTGTTTATAATTTTTTAAAATTTACAGGATACATTCATTATGGTATTGGCAACATTCTTCAATAACAAAAAATATACAAAAATGTTTGTCGAAAAATGCTAAAAAATCGATCAAAAGTTTTATTTAAAAATAACTAATTATTTTTAAATACCAAAAAATGTCAAAATAATAACACTGGCTGTATAAGTGTGCGTAATATAAAAATATTCTTGTTAACCATTTTCTTGAAAAGGTACATCAATAATACCAAATTTAACATGGTTGGTATACATGGTACTCTCTCTCTCTCCCCTTAAAGAATTGTTTATTATATGTAATTAATACTACATATTTATATTGAGACTTTTTTATTAAAAGATATTTTCAACCAAGGTTGGCAGCAAAAAACTTCTTTTGATAACTATATGTTGGATGATTTTCGCGGCTATAGTTGGTATGGCTAATTACGTATAGCAGTTTTCCCCCACCCACTCCGCGTTCATATAAAGACAGTGCTGCTTACGCAATCATCAGTTGCTGGTCTTCTGCGTCATCTTTTGACTTCGCTGAGGACATGGTGTGAACGAAGACGTTTGCAAAATGATTACCGGCATGGCACTTCTTTCCTTTATGTCCAACAAGCCTTGGGCTTTGAAGTTTCTCACACAGCAAGAATATAAGGTGTTGATTCGCATCACTGGCTTTGTGCTGCTTTTCATCGGTATTTTGTACGCTGTTCAAATTATGCAGTTTGAAGCAAGGAAACGGCAAATAACCAGCGGCCATGATTCAGCGAACAATCCTCACAGGGAATACACTACTGAAACAAGTTAGTTGCTTTCTCCATCCGATAGTGCTCTTGAAATTCCTTCTAAAGATTAAGATGCATTTCCTTTTTTCAGGTATTGATTTGTTATTTACAACGCTTGGCAACTTTTCGACTGACGTACTTGCCAATAACAATGGCAGTTACACCACTGATAGAAATCGATCACCTTACCCAGGGGAAGACGTTTCAGCTGACATGTCTGCTAAACGGAACAGTAGCATTACCTCTGTTAGCTGGATACCTATTGCAGAAAGCGATGCTAAGACTGATAAAACACGCAATAATTACAAGATGGAGTCAGGTTTGTTTACTTTTTTGTGGCGGTTCATGTCGCGTTTTCTAAGGATTTCGGTAAATGCTACATTGAGACACGTTTTCTGTACCAGATACCAATGTTTCATCTAGCCTATCTGAGGAGGATAATTACACCTCTCAAATAGGATGGTTACCTGATCCAGACACCAATGCTTCAGCTGAAATATCTGTTGAGGGCCATAGTAACAAAACTGTAACAAGCTGGTTACCAGCCCCGGATATTTCGGCTCCAGTGACTGCTAAGGACTGTTTTAATTCTAGCAGTGAAATAGATGTGTTGCCCACTACAGACTCTAAGGTTTTATCTGCTAAATTGAGTAAGGACTCTGGTAACTACAGTACTATTGAGACAAATCCGTTTCCTTCTGTAGACCGCAACATGTTCACTGCTATGATGTCCCGAAACAAAAGTGGCTTGTCCCAGACAAATTTGTCCCCGACAAATTTGTCCCCTTCTCCACGTAACAATATATCAGCTGCAATTAACACTAAGAACTATTTGAACGTTTCTAAAGGAAATTGACTGCCTCTTCAAGGGAGCAATATTTCTGTAGATATAACTATCAGTGATATCAATAACTACACTTCTGAAACACTTTGGTTGCTTGCTCCCACCAATAACACTTTTAATGAAAAGGATGTTCATTCCATTGTACCTTTATCATCTAAGACTACTTCAAAAAATCTCTCTAGTAATTTCAACAAACACTGTGCTTCCCAGTCAGGTTTATTTGCTGCAAGCCTCCTTCTTTTCTGTCTCAACCACATTTAAGACTTCTGTGTCTCCATTTAAAAACCCAGTAGTGATGAGCATTTTAGAAACATTAATGTTCAAATATTGCCACATAACTGCTATATGAATATTATTATTTTTATCTGCTAGTGTTTGAAATTTGTGTTTAATTGTTGTGGATCCTTATTCATCAAATAAATTGGTGCATTTCATTGTTAAATATCATCTTGTTAATAAAAAATTATCCCTTCAGATGTCTACTTTGTATAAGATTAAGGTTGAAATTTGTATTTTATATAATACAGGTAATAATATTAAATAATTTTGCTCAAAAAGGTCATGTATTATCTTCACACAATGTATATTTTCTGTTGTTAATGTTACATTGTGTTAATGAAATAAAAATGTTTATCGCATGTCTTATCTGATTATTAGAAATGGGGAAAAGAGTTCTGAAAAGCATAATCATTTTTAATATTTCTTTCAACTGTTATCTTCTTTATTTAGAAAAGAAAATTAATATCCTTGAAGTGAGGGACTTTTAAGTGAAAGTTGCAAACTCGCAAACTGATTTTCGCAACACTAGTACATAATATTTCACCTTTTGAAATGAATAAATTTATTTTCAAAACCTATTTTGAATTGGTTTGTTTTTATTGGCTATGTTTTGGTAGAAATCTGGTTACAATATATTTGGACTGGATTTCTGTGTATATCAGAGTATGATTGTTCAACTACAATTTTCATTTATTTTTAAAATATTTCAAAATAATTCTGCAAAGTATTTTTTATGAATTGTTATTATAAATGCATTATCTAAAATGAACACATATAATTGTGGACCGGTTTAGGTATATAATATAAAATACAAACTACTTCTGCACTGAAATTAGTCATGAAAAGAAAAACATTGCCAATCAGGAAAGCATGCATGTACACATTAGATACATTATTGTTACGGTATATGAATTAAATCTTCCACACAGTAATTATTGCCCATTTTACGTTTAAATGCATGAAATTCCTAACAAAATTTTGTTTTCTTAGTAGAGTAGGATTTCTTTTGTTTGATTTCAAACAATTGTACCTGTTACCAGATAATTTTGATGAACTCTGAGAATCAAATCTATTAAAGCATATTTATATTATTGAATTGTGGACAATGTTAATATGGTTAAGTATTTATTAAACAAAAATAATTTTGAGTTTAATGATGACAATGCAACTTTAATTAATCAACATTAATACTTTCCCTCAAGAATTTGTTCAAAAAAATTATTTATTGCCTCTGAGAAAACTTTGTTTTGGCATTATTCTAAATTTTTAATACTACCCTCTCTGTGGTCTTTCAAATAAAATATGTGATGCCACAATGCAAACAATGGAGCCATTTCAGCATTTATTAAATTAATTGAGTGAATTTGAATGAGTTAGGAGTGGTTGCAATCTGATTACATTAGTGATTACAGCCATATTGAATTTATTAAAACTTTATTATTAAACAAAATGAAGGTAGTGCATTGATATCATGAGTAAAATAAAATTTGGACTTCATATTTAGTGCAGTATCCAACTGCATAAAAATAGTTATGCAGTAGAAAAGGTTTCGTGTGGGCATTTAACCTTGTGTATCAATTTTATGTGATTAATATCATCATACTTTTGTAATGAAAAAAAACATTTGTGTATTTTATGTGAATTTTTGAAGTGAGCTCTTTAAACTGGTACGTTATAGATATTTGTATTGCATTAAAATAATTTCCATCTCTTGAACAAGTCAGTTTTCTTATGACGGAGAGTGCTAAAGTGGGTTGCAGAGTGGAGGGTCTTTAACCTCCTGAGCAGATGATCATTGATTTGTTTTTACCACCAGTGGATGAATAGTTGTAGGGAGTAGCTATAAAGTGTGAGTGATGATGAGAGAGAAATACTTATGGTTGGAAGGATGGTTCAGATATGATACATGGTGGTATAAATGCCTTTGTGGGACTTGAACCTGTAGTCTTCAGGTTTTGTACTTGCATGAGGCTCCATGTCCCTGTCATACATAATAAAACTTTGATAACTTTTAATAACTCTTTTGATGATTTCAGTAAAAATTCAAAATGTTATTAATTATTATTTTTTTGTCATTTAAATACAAAAAATTGTCTTCAGTGTGAATTTATTTTTATTTTTATATAGCATTGCTGAATTTATTTCTTACTGTTCAGTTACACTAAGTAAATACACATTCTACCAAGAATTTGTATCATAAATTTATCATAATTTTTTGCCTGCTTTTGAAATTCTAATAATTTCTTCTCAGTCACTATTTGTGCATTTAAACTGTAAGACGACTGTAACTTATTATTAGTAATTTCTTTTATATATTGAGTAAATGATAACGTTCACAGGAAACAAATTTAAAAAACACTTTCAAGAGGATTGGCATTTATAATTTTGTATTAAAAATAAATAAAGACATAAGACATAACCAGTGTCCAGCGAAATATAAGTTCTTGCAATTTAACTAAAATTGTTCATGTCTTTGGTTAATGTTTCATGAGATCCATCACAGAAATTTTACCCCCAAACAATTTGAAAATCTAAGTACTTCTAAACATAATCTGTGAATATAGCAGATGAAAATAGAAATGGATATGCTGTAGGTTAATACATTGAATAAAGATTGTCAGTGCTATAAGAAAAGGTCAAATGCTTGATAGTCCCAACACACACCGTTCAGCAAAAAGTTATAAATACTTCAGCAAAATATATTTCATGAATTCACTGCATTCCTACCTGAAATATCACAATATTCCAGGAAAACACAATGTATTATAGTACTTGCGAATTTAAAGGCTTATTGCCTACAGTAAATTATCACTATGTAGGGAACCTGCAAAATCAACGATTAGACTACTTTCCTATCCAGGGTGGGCATCAAAGAAAATAACAAAAACATGTGACAAAGTTATTTAGCATCTATTTATCAATTTATCTCTCCCCTGCAATTAATATATTACTGATAAATAAATAAAGATGTTGTCTGGTATCAATACTTTTTATTCAGCTTATGATCGTTTCGATCGCATAGCGATCATCCTCAGACCTAAAATTTGAAATACAAATATTATTAACAGGTTATAGTTATTGTATGCAAGATGCGTAAGCAAACTGGGTCGTACATGCCTTGCAGCTTTCGGGCCGAAAAGTTCTGCGAATTTTTGAGTGTGTCTTGTTTTAGAACACAGCCGGTCGGCAGCGGGTGGGAGCGGGAAGAGGGGTGGGGTGCGGGTGAAGAGTCGTAAAACGCGGGGGTGCTGGTGGAGGATTGAAAGACGGTCGGGCGAGCGAAGGTCAGTGGAGTAGGGAGGGCTGGGGGTGGGTTAGGGGTGTACACTTTGTGCTAATTTTAGCAGAGGTGAAGAGAGTTCAGGGATTTGTTGGTTAAGACATCGTTGTGTATGTGTAGGGCTTCTAATTTTATTCTGTTCCAGTACCTGTTTTCAATTTCTAGAATTCGGGAATTTGTATGTTTATCAACACGCAACAATTGCATGCATAATAAGCAAGCTCTCCATGTCAAGAGACAAGGTAATGGTAAAATATCTAGGTTAATAAAGAGAGCCTTAGAAGAATCTCGTGGGTGGGATTTGCTTATTATGCGTGCAATTCTTTTTTGTAATCTAAACGAGTGGGAGCAATAAGATGTATTTCCCCACAATACTATGCCATATTTCAGGCGGGAATGAACATTCGCGAAATACACACAACGAGCATTGTGGATGCTGACTGAAAATGAAAGAACTCTGAAAGTGTTGCATAAAGGACTAACATAACACTCGACGTAGTAATCGTATTCATCAGGTGACAGTATCAACAGCTCACTACAAGAAAAAACACATACAATACATGTACATTATTTTACAATAGTTTGCCAGATGATTAAATTGGATACAAGCGTTCAAGTCCCAAGTAAAATCATTTCTACTGCACTACTTTTTCTATACAGTTAGAGACTATATCGAGCATTCAAAAGAAATTAATATTAATTTTAACAATGAAATTTAATGTATTATTACCCATTTGGATTGTATAATTCTAAAGAACCTGTAACAAGTATTGTACTTCAGCTTTTGGATCAATGACTACCATCTCGATCAGGTTTGCGTCCAGTTTCCCTGATCCTTGGGCAAATACTGAGATGGTCCCTTGTTTTGCTTCTGGACATAAATATAACTTCAAATTAACTTCTCCCCATAGCACGTCACACACAGTTTTTCACTGTTCCACCAATCCGCACGATTACACAACTTTCTCTTCTTACGAAATATATGCGAGAAAGTAAAAATTGGAGCAATTTCTGAGAAAATTTTGATAGTGTTCTAAGGTTTACGTAACGTACCCAGTAAATTCTTTTAATCGAATTTGGATTCAACTAGAATGCGATTAAGGTCTTGTAGCGGTACAGAATTATTGAGATAAATTAAATTGAGTAAAGCAGACCTAAGAAATTTTCTACTGA